ATCAAGTGGGCAATATGTAATGTATAACAACAACAAAAAAAAACATGATAAAGGTAGTGCTTATCAAGAAAAATAGGCAGAATTTAAATCGGGTGGAGTTTAGTTTAAAACTTAAACAAAGGAAGATTAAATTAAAGAACCAAGTGGGCAATATGTAATGTATAACAACAACAAAAAAAAACATGATAAAGGTAGTGCTTATCAAGAAAAATAGGCAGAATTTAAATCGGGTGGAGTTTAGTTTAAAACTTAAACAAAGGAAGATTAAATTAAAGAACCATATTGCCCACTTGTAATGTATAACAACAACAAAAAAAAACATGATAAATGTAGTGCTTATCAAGAAAAATAGGCAGAATTTAAATTGGGTGGAGTTTAGTTGAAAACTTAAACAAAAGAAGATTCAATTAAAGAATCAAATGGGCACTGTAATGTATATAAAAAAAAAACCATAAAAATGATGCTTAGCAAGAAAAGTAGGCAGAATTTAAATGTATAATCAAAAAAATTATGATCATCTTTAGCAAAGGATTCTGGTAAAACTCATTAACATGTCAAAAGAAACAAAATTAAAAAAAAATGTTAGGAAAGCAGATGAATTTGTTTAACATCTAAGTTTGTTTTTATTTTATTGGTTTACAGGATGAAATGACACAAGCTTTGGCTACTATGCGAGTCGACTATGATGCGATCCATCTGAAAAACTTGGAGAAGTCCAACAATAAGTTACTGAACAAGCGTAAAGCTCATAAAAAATAAATAGACCTCAGAAGAATTTGGTCAACTATCAGTTTCTTCCAGCTTATGCAAGCCCTCACAACATGTACACTTTGTTTAGTTTAATCATAGATAACCTAGCCAAAAATATTTGGGTCATTTATGAAAAAATTACATAAAGATGTGAGAAATGATAAGATATTCAATAGAAAATAATAATAAATTTTTTTTTTCACTTTTACAAGTATTTTTCCTGTTCAAGGATTGTTGTCTTTGCCATAGTTGTAGATACCTTACAATGTTATATAGTGTTTTAATGCATACAGATTTTTATTTTTCTTGACATTAGTAATTTCGATGTCGGAAGATCAACATAGTAGTAGTAGCAGCAGTAGTAGTGTGGGAACTTTGGTTATTAAAAAGTGCCTTAGTAGCCAACACTAGCAGGTTAGCCTTTTAGTTAAGTTGGTAGAGCACTCGCTTATAGTACAAGCAGTCCCAGGTTCATGTCCTGCTTACAGTAGATACAAAAAATTACATAACAGGCAAGGGTTTTAATAAGTTAGTTTAAAGGTTTACTCGCTGTCAAATCCTAACAACGTACTTTTTAACAACCCAAATTACATAGTTCACGTCACTTGTGAAAAGTGTATACTGTACACGAATGTTTTCTAATTTGTTTTTTCTTACATAAGCATTAGTTTATATAAGAAAGAACGTTTAAAATACTGGCTGGAATGAGAAATATAAAGTTTGAGGTATAAGTGTGGCTTATTGAGTTGTCAAAAATGTTCCTGTTGAGTGATGATTACAGTATTTGTTTCGATCAGCCAAAGTAACAGAATTGTTTTGAATCATGGAAGTGCTAATGTTTTATTGTTATATTCTTGCATATTATATTTATTATATATATATATATATATATAATTTTGTTTTATTTTTCTACAAGAATAGAAAGTATACAAGATAATGACAATTGATAGTTGAGCAGCAACGTAATAGTTTGCATACCAGATCTTGCTTATTTAGCTCTATGATTGGAAATAAATGTGGTGTCACCTTAAGGTTCAGAGATGTAAATGTTGAGAGTTTAAAATGTTTTTTTCCATCCTGTTACAATTTACTGAAATGTCAAAGATAACTCTAGAATTGATACTAGTTCTTTTTAGGCATGTCTTGTTAAAATTTGCTGACATTCCATGATGATGTAAACAAAATTACAGAAGTAAAAATCAAGATACCAAGTTTATTGGCTTTTTGCTAAATGTGGGCTAACATCAACCATATACAAAAGCACTGTGAGTTAATAGTGTTAATTTTTTTCTTTACATAAATGGTAATGATAACACTGATCAGGTATATTTTTGTAAATATTCTGGTTTAAGGAAGAAGTTAATATCTTTATAAATGTTGCTACATAAGGCTCTGTATCATTACATGGGCTTTAGATGTAGTAGAAGTGTAGTGTGGTTGAAATATTATACACTTTTTTACTTTCACCCAGAAGATCTTATTAATAATGAGGAATTAAGTATGGTATTTTCATTACCCAGGCAACAAATTAAGTAAGGTATGACACTGTGAAGAAATTACCATTTTGTATAAATTTTAAAACATTCAAGAAATATAAAAAGATTGGCAGACATTAATTATACCTAATGTTTATAATTAACATGTGAATCACTGTTGACTAGTTGTGAAAATTATCTATTTTCACATCAGGCAGTATTTTAAAACGTAAACCTGATAATTACATAATAAATAATATCTTGCTTGTTCTACAGAGGCGACTAAGCATTTTCATTAAAACTGAATGCTGTTCAATTTATAGAAAATTATTATTGAGAAAATATAGTTTACTGAGTTTGTAAAATCAAGAATTAACAAAATCAATTCAGTTAATAGTGAGTGTTTAAACAAATTATTATTGAGCAGATGGTTCTTTTTTTACTTTTTGTGCACAACTTCCTTTTATACAGGTTCTGAATTTTAACACAAAATGAAGGTTTTAATGTAAAAGAAGATTCAAATATTTAAGACATTTTGTTAAGTTAGCTTTTTTTTATTTGGTTCTTTATTTTCTGTGGATCCCAGCCAAATATAAGTTTGTACCAAATTCAGTGATTAGTTATTAATATTTAATAGGGTTTGTGATAGAATATGCTAGTTTTACATAAATATAACGGCATGTTAATGACCCACTTTGCCATGCTCCAGGACATCAGAAATTTTTTGTCCATTTTTATTCATTATTCTATTTCTGTTTGTTGAGAATTTTATCCCGAATGCCCTGAATTTGCCAAGTATTATTCTCACAGTGCCCTGTAAAAACTACATCATGCTCCAGGATGTACCATACAAGAGTTTACGGGATACCCCAAGATGTAATAGTTCTATGGTGCATGGCATAATGGGTCAAATGTAAGTATTCCCAGCATGCCCCAGGACATACCATGTAAGAGTTTACAGAATACCTCGGACATGGCATAAATGGATCAAAGGCAAGTTCTGATGGAGTATAGGGACATTATTCCCTAATGTTCAGGTTGTTTGGGCTTCAATTGCATGTATATAACGTTTCTATCTGCCTTTTATTTCAGGAGTCGACTCCAGCAATTGTTATGTATGATCAGTCACTTAAATCCAAAACTTGAATATGTAAATACATTAATTAGTTTTGTCTTTAAATAAAGGAATCAAAGTAGTATTCAGTTGTGTGCACTTGATAAATTACCATGTTTCTTGACAGCTTTTGTGCACAAGTGTAGAGCCTAAAAAAGTTCATAATTCTGAAGAATATTTTACAACTAGGTTTTGTAGTCTTTGTAAAGTGCAATAAATAAAATATACACATAACTATAGCCTGTCAAACCTAATTGGTTTACTAAAGACATTAAAGGAGAAAATTTTGGATCAATTTAGTTTAGGTCTGCTTATCTAAAGGTTCAGATGAAGGATGATTTCTCTATAGAAAGAGAATCTTATTGAACTTTACAAGATTATCCAAGAATGGGGTCAATAGAATTAAGGCCTCAGATTTCTTTTTGTTGTACCCCAAAAGACGAGAAAACCCAAGATTCGGATATGAGGGGGGGAGATGAGTTAAAATTCTAGTAGATATGTTTTATTTCTTTAACAGGGTGATTAGCTTATGGAATCATTTCCTATTGGCAATAGTGGTGATCAGCACTTTATGGAACATTTAGATCTATGAATTCCTGTAAAATGAATGATGGGTATCAAAATATTTTTCTTTTCCTCAGAAACAGCCTTGAAATACTAAATGTTCCATTGTTTTATGTATGTTATACATTATGTACAATATAATGGTTTGAATTTTTAAACATTTAAAAACTAATGCTGGAAGCAAGTTTTAATAGAATAATTTTCTGCTTGATTAAAAACAATTCACCAAAAGCGAGTAAGCGAAATCACTCATTTTCTTTGTAAAATACATAATAGACCCCAAAACTAATTAGTACTGGTAGTTGTAATATTTGATGGTATGTTTTGTGTGACTGATCCCTTTACCAACAGAAACACCCCCCTCCAGTGGTAAGTCTGAGTTCACGCTACTAAAAAAAACCGAGTTTCGATACCCGTGGTGGGCACAGCACAGAAACCCCATTGTGTAACTTTGCACTTCACAACAAACAAACAAAACCAACATACATGAACTCAACCAGTTTAGATAGATAGATGTTGTTTGGGTATCGCAACTCCGTTTCTAGCGTTGTAAGTCTGCAGACATTCTGCTGTGCCACTGGGAGGGGGGAGATAGATATTCACAATGTTAATCATTTGGAACATAAAACTATATTTGCCTTACACAAAATATTTATCTGTGCTGGATATATTTCCTTGTTAACTAACTGCGTGACTGATATGCTAATTGAAATGTTTCATATTTTAAAACTTTAAAGTTAATATACAAATTTAAGTTTAACAACAATCAACCTTAGTTTATA